GCATATTTAGTTATAAAATTCATGCATGATCTTAATACTTTATGTTGATTTTGTCTCATTTAATGAACAAAAGGTGATTAATTAGATTAAATATTTCATTTTCAGCAACAAAGACATGCTCGAAAGGAAAATGAAGCGGAACTAGCTATTGGAAGCTTGGATCTTGGATTTTGAAGAAAGAAGGATGTTGCTGGACAGCTTGACCCCTCGTCAGTGTTTTGGCCATATCTCATGAACCGTAACTCCGATTTACGAGATTCAAAATGTTTTAAAAACTAGACACAATTTCGGACGACCTTCGTGTTTTGAGCAAATGCTGATTCCAAACGTACTCGGCGAGTAGGGTCGATTACTCGCCGAGTTGGTCAGAAGTTTCACGATTCTGGACGCGCTGACTTGCCGTACACGGGTTTTAAGTGATGGACTCGCCAAGTAGGTCACTGGACTCCGAGTAGCCCTGTTTGTGAAAATCTATATAAAGGGACTTTCAGATCGATACCTAGCATATAGATGAACCCTTGGAGGCCAATTGTCGACTAAAGGTGCTGCTGGAGCGTGGGAAGCAAGGGAATCAACCCTACATTCAATTTTAAGGAGAATCAAGTCAAAATCAAGTTTACTCTTACCTAATCTCTTGTTTGAACTATGTTTTTACCAATTGATTTCGTTTTTGTGCTTGTTTCTGCTGTAATCATGAGCTAAAAACTCATAACTTCTGTTTAGGTAGATGAATTTGTGAACATGGATTGATTATTTGATTAGGATTAATTTTAATTGGCGATTATGTTTTATTAAGCTTGTTAAAGAACCTTATGTGTTAACAATAACTATTCTTCTTTTAATAAATTAGTAATTAAGTTGTATGAACATCTCTTAGTTGCTAATTTCATATGATTTACGTGACCACATAGTTGTATGTCTAGGAATAACGAATGTGAAACTAGAATTAACTTAAAGATAGGTAAGTTAATGTGTGAGCTTGTGTAATACACCATCAACAAGAGGTTAATTGAATCACCAATTTGATTAGCTAATTACAATTCTTTCTAAATCCGAATCAACAAACTAGGAAATTCATTAATTTAGACAACTGGCCATTGCTTGAATTAATATGTTTTCTAAGGATTAGCTGTAGCAAATGTGAATCTAATCACTTTAGTCGGTAACCAATGAAGAATTAATCTGATATATTTACCATAAAATCATCCATGGGAACAAATGATTCGAACCTAAACAGAAGGCCTTTTTAATCATTGAATTTAGTTGATCTTTGTTTTCTTAGCTATTAGTTGCTTAGTTTGCGTGTTAGTAAAGTATTTAAGTTTCTAGTCTTGCAAAACTAGAGAAAACCCTTTTTTTACTTGTTATATTTAGATAATATTAGCATTTATTTTAATTGTTTACCGCTACCTGTGTTCGATACCCTACTTACCTGAACTAAATTGCTAATCGATAGGTACACTGCCTTTCATGTGTTTGTCTTCGTGTTTAAGTTAGTAGGATTAAAACTAGTTGGTTTTACACACATCAAGTTTTTGGCGCCGTTGCCGGGGAACGGTTCTATATAGTTAATTTTATTTGCTAATTGTTATCATTTTTTTATTTTATTTGTTGATTAATTTTTTTTATTTAGTTTATTTTTTTATTTTTATTTATTATGTATTTTCCAAATCTCGATGCTTTTGATGCTTTTGTTCAGGAAGTAGTGAAGGAAATTGAACAAGAAGATGAGGAGTATGACTCGGATGATGATTTGAAGAAATTTGGAAGATGGTTAGATAACTTCTTGACTAACGAACAAGAACAATCTGAGTCACAAGAGCTAAAGTTTCAAGATGGAGAATTTAATCCAGAAAGAGATTTGGAGGAGCTGAAAAGGTTGTTGGCAGAGGGGTCAGACGAAGAACAAGAACAAGCTGAGTTGCAGGAACCAAGCTGTGGTTTGACCATTACCATGACATGCCCCCCTGTATTTCCGATTTGTGTTTCAAAGCATGGGGTGACGATTCCAACTTTGGAGAAAGTTCTAAATCATGATCCATTTATGATTAGTATCCAACCGGTTCCAACCCTTGTCAATATTCTTGGATTTTATGTATTCAAGCTCGTTTGGCCAATTTTAGAAGTAAAGAACCAAATTTCAGAAATTGGTCCAAAGAAAATATTTAATGCAACGGATGGATTGGCATCGAATTTATTAAAAGTTTATTAAGTTGAGAGTCCAGCTAAAGACTCGCACAAAAAGAAGCGCTTGCAGGAGGCAACCCGTCATTAGAGTTTTCTTTTCTTTTTCTTTCTAAACTTCTAGTGTTTAAGGATAATTTAGGATTTTTTTATTTTAATGTTTTTTTATTACTTGGTTTTTGTTTTTGATCTTTTCAGTTTGAGTGTAAGGATGCATGTGAGGGTCTAGAGTCAAGGCTGATGAAGCGAGAAATCGAGTCTAGGCGAGAGAGGAAACGAAGTTTTGAGTCAAGCTATGAGTCCAATTGATAGAAGGGTTATATAGTGTTTATTACCTAAAGAAAAATGAGGGAAATTATTCGTTTATATAACCCCCATACATCAGAAACGGACTTGGCCAGAATAAAATTTTTGTCACACAGTGGTCTACTCGCCGAGTCCATGTGAAAATTCACGATTCTTCTGCCATTTACACTTCAACTCGGCGAGTCTACATACTTACTCGACGAGTCGCTCATTCTTCTTACTTTTGAGCTGAAGATTTGATGACATTTGATATGGGCATTGGTTCTATTCTTTGAAGATCATTTTCCGAGCATTTCCAAGAGTTTTTCCCTTATGTTTGGAGCTTTTATAAAGACTGTACCACACGAGATTTTGACACCCAAGACATGGATGAGCTGTTCCCATGTCTAAAGTCAATTGAAGATGGAGCTGAAGAGAATAGATATCAACCTCGCCACTACTATCCCAGGGGAGTTTGTTCCAATTCTCTCTTTATTTTTATTGTTCTTTATCATGCATGATATGCAATGGGGACATTGCATAAATTAAGTGTGGGGTAGGGGGTTGGTTGGTTACACTAGTTAATTTTTAAAGTTTTGCATAAAATTTGCTAGGATTAATTTAGAAAATTTTGGTAAAGCAATTAGGATCATGCTAGTATTATATTTGATGATTGCATGAAAACCCAAATGTTTAGTTGAGCCTATATACGTTCTAGTGCATTTGTGGCTTCCTTATTCCAGTGAAATCATGGGACAAAAACACGACCTGCTTAGTTTGAAGGATGCAATATGTTTAGCATCGTGTACCAGAAATGTATCCAGGAAAATTATTATCGTTAACCAATAAAGGTTGAAGTTGAGCGCCCCTGCTTAAGCATGTAGGGTTTTGAGTGAAAAAAAAGTGAGTTACATGTTAAAAAAGAGAGAGAGAATTACAAGAAAAGTTTGAAGAATTTTTGGAGCATCAAAGTTAAGTATGAAATTAGAAGATCGAAAATTCCAAAGAAATTCAAAAAGTTGAAGATACCAAAAATCAAACAACAAGGTGGTGAATTCAAAGAAATTAAAGATCAAATGTCAAAGAAGTGAAGAATTCAAAAGAGCTCCAATGTGGTATCATAAATTGTAATTGTCTAGATTATGTATGCTTGGGTTGCTCAACCAAAAATACCTTGAGGTTAAGAGGTTTTCTGAGGATGGATTCGGAGGGATGCATAAAATGAGCATTGTTCGGAAAAAGTGGGCGAATGTTTATGAGGATTGTGAGTATTTGGAGTATGGGGGGTTATTAGGAAAATTTTAGACACAAATGCATGCGTTGCGGTCTTGGCATAATGGTGGGTTCGATTGGGATTGTTTTATATGATTCTAATGTGTTAAAATTCAGTTTTGCTTGGGGGCAAGCAAAAGTCAAGTGTGGGGTATTTTGATATGGGCATATTTAGTTATAAAATTCATGCATGATCTTAATACTTTATGTTGATTTTGTCTCATTTAATGAACAAAAGGTGCTTAATTAGATTAAATATTTCATTTTCAGCAACAAAGACATGCTCGAAAGGAAAATGAAGCGTAACTAGCTATTGGAAGCTTGGATATTGGATTTTGAAGAAAGAAGGACGTTGCTGGATAGCTTGACCCCTCGTCAGTGTTTTGGCCATATCTCATGAACTGTAACTCCGATTGACAGATTCAAAATGTTCTGAAAATAGACACAATTTCGGACGACTTTCGTGTTTTGAGAAAATGCTGATTCCAAACGTACTCGGCGAGTAGGGTCGATTACTCGCCGAGTTGGTCAGAAGTTTCGCGATTCTGGACGCGCTGACTTGCCGTACACGGGTTTTAAGTGATGGACTTGCCGAGTAGGTCACTAGACTCTCCGAGTAGCCCCTGCTTTGTAAAATCTATATAAAGGGACTTTCAGATCGATACCCTAT